CCACCTACCCAGACACCCGGCTTCAGCCCGGAGCCACTGGTTTCTGGGATTAGAGGAAGCCCATTGGGACCAAGCTTCAGGGACTCTCCTAGAGGATGTGCATGCCTTCAAGCTGCCCCTGTCCAGATGGCTCTGTTGAAATGCAACTACCTGTGGGCCTGCCCCTTGCTGTTTCTGGGAAGGGAGAGCCTGCTTGGGAAGGGAAGCAGCAGGCAGAGGTGCGCCGTTGTCTCAGGGCGCCACTTGGCAGGAGCCCCATGTTGTGCCTGGCTTTGAGTGCCCTGTCCGTCCATTCCAGAGAAATCCACTCGCCTCACCTGGGAAACCTGCTAAGGCACTGGCTGGTGACCAGCAATTAGAAGGCAGGAAGGGCTTTAGGGTCCAGGATGCGGCAGACACCAGGAAAGGACCAGGAGCTACCCACAGCATTCCAGAGCAGAAAGAGCGACTCATAGCTTGTTTATTCAGTTCAATCCAGGGCAACTGTTTTAAAAATCCATACACAGGACAGGGGTTTTGCACACCATACATGATCTACACAATGTCATGCATAATGAATGAATCAGCACAAGGCAGGCAAGGACTGCAGATGAGCCTCCGATACACGCAGGCTCGTGCGGTTTTATCCTCCACAGACCTTCCTAGAAGACACTAAAATACCTTCTACCCTGGCAGTTTCTAAAATAGAAACACTTGAGTTTTGAAACTTCTAGTCAGGTACTAAATGGAGACTGTGTTCCACTTTGGAATGGGCCTCAGTATCTGCAGGCGTAAGTTTTATGAGCACCAGGAAGGCTCTGCTCAGAGGGAAATAGGGCAAGCCCACGCTGGCCCCAGGGCAGCCCAAGGCGCTTCACCACAGAGGCCACTGTACTGGAATGCTCCGCAATCAGGTTAAACCTCCAGAATCCAAATTTCTAGCCTATAATTTGCCAGCCCCTCCTCCAAACTGCCCTGCTGAGTTGTTCCTGCAGCTCCAACTAGCAGCTTATCTTCCATCTAGCAAGTTCCGGGGTTAAACTGAGCTTGTGCGTCCTCTCCACCTATCACCAACCCCAAGACACATGGTCTTCTATGTTCCCACAGAAATGCCTCATGCCTCTAGAAAGGCCAGAACTGGAAAAGCGTGCTGGATGAGAGAACAAAGAATTACAAGAATGTTATTTTCCCAATCTGTTTAAACATGGTATGTGGCATCTTTTCTACCCCTGTGGCACTGTCATTGGACACCTAGTGTCTGACTCTTGATGTGGCCACACCAAAAGCGCTGCCCAGCAGATCAGGCATAACGGCTGGCCCCCACTGGCAATGGGGTGTACTTTCCAGTCTGGGAAGCATGGCACTCCCTGGGACGGGCACACTTAGGGCGGGGGCACCAGATGGCCCAGGAAAGTGGGTGGCAAGAGTGAGCCCAGCATGGCCACTCTCAAAAGACTCAGGCCAGAGAAAGGGCTTGCTGCCTGCTCCCAGCATTGGGGAAGAGCGAGCCTATCTTGTCACTGCCGAGACACAAAATAGCTGTCTTGCACTGACGCTGACATTCTTTTGCAAAGCAAACAGTAAACCAGATAAGCCTTTTCAACAGGGCTCTGAGAAAGAGGAAACATGCACTAGAGAGCAAGCAAGTCGTGACAAATGTCTGCAGAAGATGCAAGGGACATGCCCTTTGAAAGACGCCAGGACTCTTCTCTGGCCCGGTGGGACACCATGGCCAGGCTTCCCATAAGTGTCATCACTGACACTGGTGATTCTCAGCACAGTTCCCAGAATGTCCCTCAGCATTTCAGAGTTACATGTTAAGGTTTATGTTCTCACCAGTAGGTCACATTCCCAGAAACTTCAGCTGGGTCAGGCAGGATTTCTTGACACAGGTAACCCAGGCCCTACAGAGATATTAGCATCAGAGCATGAAGTCCACTGACGACTTGTGAAAACAAATGAAAAGGCCTCCTCCAGGTGGCTGCTGGCCAACATGGTCAATGTAGTTTTTAAAAGCAGCTCGGGGCACAGCATGCTCACAGGAAAGCTGAGCTGCAGCCTGTATGTGAACAGCCCAAGAACACAGGCTACCAAATGCCCTTAGTGAAAACACCAGAATCCAGCCTGCACATGGCAGTAAACGTGTGAGCTGGGCCCCAGTGTGTGGCTGAGAGGCCTGGAGGGCCCAGCAAGGAGCACTATGTGGGGTTGTGCCTTCCTGCAGTTCCGTGTCACAAGCAGGACCCGCATTTGGCCACGACTGGCCTCTGGTGCCACCACCCACAGACCAGAACAGGTCAACAGCCTTGTCTAGACAGTAAGTCCCCTAGGCTGACCCTCCTGCTGCCTGGTACTACGGGCAACAGGAAGATGGGCAGGCTCTGCTGCCTGAGCGAGTACCCTTGACTTTCTGTGGCCACAACTCAGATGGGCAGCTGACTCAGCCTCAGGGGGCATTCCATGGCCAGGAGATGGAGGCCTCTGGACTGTGGGCCCTTCTCAACCTGGTGGCCTTGCTGGGTCAATGTGGCCAGGGGTTCCAGCCTGGCTGGGAAGAAAGCATTTGGGCCCAGTGTGCCTTGGAGTACCCCTCAGTTAATAGCCTCCTCGAGTGGGCATCTCACATAGGATGTCCACAGACATGCCTCCCTGACCCTGCCAGGCCTCCACCCTAGAAGCCTCCCCCAAGCCCTATAAGTGTGCCGCCTCCTGGAGCATGCACCACACCTGCTGGGCTGACATGTGCCCCAGACTCCTGCCTTCCCTACAAGCCAGGCCACCCAACTCCCTTCAGAACAGGGGAGGGAAGCACCAGGCCCAGCTATAATCCTGTGCCCCATCTAATCGCCATAGTCCCCGCCTAATCACAGAAAGTTGGCACTATCAGACGTGCCACCTGGCTACCATGCAGCCCACTGGAGGTGTCACAGGGCAAATATCTAAACTCACAACTCTACCCTGACTCTCAGGGCCTTCCCCAGGCTTCCTGCATCCCAGGCCACTTGTTTCATATCTTTGAGATGACCACAGGGTGGGAGCCCTGCCTCCTTTCTCAGGAAATCCCCAGGGCCAAGGACTCAGCCTTTCTTTGCCCTAAGCTTTTGGCAACAGAGTCTCTTGTTTAAAGATTCCCATTTTCTGAAGGAAAATCATTCAGGTTTTACAGCATTAAGACAGGAGTAAAACTTTGGTCTTGAACAGTCTGGCAGTGTCTAGGCAGCCTTGTGAGCAATTTTCATTTTTGAAATTCCCCCAAACATAGGCTCCCCCAGCCTGCGGGGAAGTGATTCACACAACCTGTAGGCTGCGCTCGTGCCCATCCAGCTGCACCTTGAGCTTGTGCAGCTCCTCGATCTCACGGTTGTGCCGCTCAGTTTTGTGGCGCACCAGCGAGCGGTAGAAGTGGATGGTGAAGACCACAAAGATGAGGCCCACAGGTACCATAATGATGGTGGACACGAGAGCGGCCTGCCAGCCCGTGTGGCCACTGGGGCCAGGTGCCGGACCGGGCTGGTGGCGCGCGTCCACAGGCAGGAACTTGATCCAGCAGAGCAGCACGACCTCGGCCAGGAAGAGCAGGATGCCAAGAACAGTGGAGAAGCCCCAGGCCAGCTCGATGTAGGGGTGCATGCGCTCGTGCGGTGACTCGCTAATGGAGTTGAGGTTGTGGATATTGCTCACGGCCTCCACATTGGGCAGGATGCACGTGCTGATGAGCAGGGCGAAGAGGTGCACGGCCACCAGCACCGTCGTGCAGGCACTGAAGGCTATAAGCAGCGGCCGTGGGTACTGGTACTGCGTCTCCAGCTGCACCTCCACCATGGCTACCTGCAAAGCAGAGAGAGCGCTGCTGGGCCAGGCACCCATGTTCTAGGCCCTTGCAGAGCACAGGGCTCCCTCCATGCTATTCAACTATTTTGAACTTTCCCTTTTTTCTGATTAGCTAGAGAAGATCTCACTGAGAAAAAATCTAAAAGTATAGAAGAGACTAAAGAAGCACGGGGTGAGGTCACCCTCTGGGTGCCTTCCCAGACACGGACTGTAGGCTGTATCTGGGGTGCTGAGCTACAAGCCAGGGCAGAGGCCACATTTCCCTGTGAACATGTGGCTTTGCTGTTGATATAAGAACCAGGCTACAGTGGCTTAGCTGCAAAACAACTGTTGTTTTCAAAAAATAAAAACTGAACTTTCAAAAGGTAAAAAAGCAAAAACAGAGGCTCCTGATGGTGCCCAGACACAGAGCTGCACACCTGGATAGCATCGCACAGACCACTGGGTGCATATCTCAGCTGAGACCAAAAGCCAGAGGGAGAAGTCGGCATCTCTGAAGGCCAGAAATGGAAATGGACATGAGAACCACGGTGAGGAGGGGCAGCTGTGGGAAGAGGGCTGGGCCAGGAAAAATGAGCTGAATCATCAACCTTAGTCACAGGATGCCAACAGGTGGATAAATCAAGAAACAGCAGTCTCTGAGTGTTACTTAGAAATGTAGAAACTGAGAGAGTTGCAAATGGGGGCCTCCAGGGGGCGGTTGTGTGGGGAACATAGGGGTGCAGGGCTTGTTATAAGCCTTTTAGCAGTAAAATTGATCCTTGAACAGCACTGGGTGTTAGGGGTGCTGACGCCCTGAGCAGCTGAAAATCCATGTGTAAGTGGACCCATACAGTTCAAACCCATGTTGTTCAAGGGTCAATTGTACTTAATTTTTAAACTATGTGCATGTAATGACTGATAAGTGAAGGGCGGGGGCGGGGAAGACCCACAGAGAGAACCAGAAGCCCCAGCTTATCTCTATAGCAGTGAATACCTATAGACATTTAAGTGGGACCTGCTCACACCAGGCCCTAAGGGACTTTCAAATGACAGACTAAGCAACACGCCCCTGCCCCTGCCTCTGCCCCTGCCAGGCTTCCCCAAGGTGAGACCCAGTCCATTCAGAATAGCTCCCTCCACAGCCCAGCACCATGCCACCCCACCAATCCCAGCACTGTGGATCTCCCCAGTAAAGGATTTTAATCCAGGCCCGGCAAAGACTCTGGTGCTCACCAAGGGCCTTATCCCAGGCACCCGAAGGTAAGAAACTAGACAAGTCAAGGAAGGGGGCAGAGAGGCAGAAAGAGAGAAGCCAGAAGAAGGCTTTCCCATCCACTGATGGCTCCTAGATCTGAGCCATCCCTGTTTTTAAATATTAACAAGAAATTTTCCACAACTTCTAACAACTATCACCTCTTAGAGTGAGAACCTCATTCCCTCAGTAAAGACAGAACATTTGGCAGGTTAAAAAAAACCCAAAAAACAAAAAATGCAGTCCTAGTGGACACTTGCTGAACAGAAGCTCAGCAGTGATTATTGTTCCAAAATGACAGTAGCCATATTACGAGAGTTGAGGGGTGGTTTTTTCTCAGTGCCTGTGGCCTGGGTATGTAGGCTCTTGTTACCACAAAGGATATGGCCCAACAAAAAGATGCTGTAAACTGCAGAGGGCACAAGCTAAGAAACAAAGATGATTAAAAAGCCTACAAGGAAGCAGTCTGTTTTACCTCAAGAGGAGAAAATGCCAAAAGGCCATTTTTTATTGTTTATGCAAAGATTTTAAGAGGGCTTTCAAATGACAGACTAAGCGTGTTACTTAGTCTGTCATTTGAAAGCCCTCTTAAAACCTCGTTTCTGTGTTAGAAGGATAAACATGAAGAGATAAGTTTAAGGTTAGGTATAACTGCTTGTTGTTGGACTGCTTGTTGTTGATGTATTGCAATTCTGGGAATATATAATATAAAGAGGGGACTCTACCTAGCAAACTGCCTGTTTTCATTTTTCCATGTCTCTGCCCTTATTCAGCTATGGTTTCCATGGCCAAAATGCTATCTGACATCTGTATTGGTCACTTCTTTCTCCCAAGCTGCACCACAGTCTGAATAGTTATCTGATTTACTGGTGGTAACTAATCTGATCAAGTGGACACACTGCTGCTTTCCCCATCATGGTCCTGGCGCCATGCTGTTTCCTTGCTTCCCAGTTTTCAGTTATGGTAGAATCTCCAGTACATGTTAGGCTGGGGCAGACTCCTGGGGAGGGACCTTCCAAAAGAGAAGGCAAGGGCACTGAAATGTATCCCCAGGCTTCTTGTTGGTACATAAGAAACACTCCATAAATGCTGAAGAAATGAATTACTACTGGGAAGCATGACTGCCCTTACTAAGCTAAGGATAGATAGCACTCTGGGGCTCACATCCAGGGATCTCGTCTCGTGGAGGCCACCATCCTCATTCTAAGACCACTTCATACCCCTGAAGGCTGCCCATAAGTCTTGAACTACTCCTTTAGAATTCACTCTTTGTTTTATAACTTTATTCACAGGGCTTGTTTTCACATTTTAAATGAGTGGTTTTGAAGCCTTCAACTTGGGTGACATTTGTTGGCTGGAAAAACAGGGCAGTTGCCCTAAGTTGGGAAATCCAAGTGTTTGGAAGGCCACAGTCTAAAATGACAGCTACAGACAGGAAGCGATTTCTGAGACCCGGGCTCCACACAGAAAGGAAACTCACTGTATTACATCATGCAATACTTCTCAGAGTTTTCGAAGTTAAAAAAATAGTAAGTACAGACCAGCAAAATGTAATGCAATACTATAATTCTTCTGTGATATAGAAATCAAGCTCTAATTTTAATAGTGATGTTTGAACTTCTCACACACATTCCTTAAAATTAAGCTTTGGGAAATATTCTGTCTTTTTAAGGTAATAGAAACCACAGGAATAAAATCACTATGAGCCAAAGTTATGCACCATATGATTGTAAACTTTTATAATTATGTTTTAAAAACAAAAACTTTGCTTTAAAAAAAAAATAAGACTTTGCTTTAAACTACAGACCAAAACCCAAATTTATTGCCTCTCAGTTTGGTGACCTCTGCCCTGCCCTGTATGAAGTCATGCCCTGACTCTGCAGGGTGTCATTTTTCCAACGGTGGCTCTACGGATGACTGAGCAGACCCTTGTCAGAGGAGTGGGCACAGTAGCTCGCTCTGACAGCTTTTTATTCTCTGCACTACCAATCTGACAACTGAAGCTCTGGACTGTGGAAAAACAACAATTATTTTTACATTAAAAAAACAAACAAACTTGCTTCCAGCCCAATAGAACCTCTGGGAATACAACAGGGAGAGGGGGGTGGCCACAGTGCCTAGAGTTCTCACTGACTACTGACATCTGTGCCCTCTGGGACAATTCCTTGAAGGGTTGTGGGTCGGGGGTTTTGGAGTTAAGAGGCGACATGTCCCTTCTCAGCGGGCTGGTTTTGCCCAAGACCGACTCTTGTCTGGGAGGATGAATCAGAAGAAAAGCCACAGCTAGGCAGCCGGGAGCAAGGCCAGAGGCTCTGCTTTGTCACCCCAGAGGCCACATTTGGGGGCATCTGCACCCCGGGCACTATACTGAGTAAACTCCAATCAATCTCACAGTTTCTGCTCAAGTCCCTGAGATTTCCAAGAGGTGCAGATGCGAGTACTTTTCTCCTGGAAACCCTGTATCCTGAAGCTATTTTAATTACTACCCTAACCTCCTTGCCAGGCAAATACTTTATGTGAACATGAGACTGAGGCTTTCTGTGGGCTCTGAGGCTTGGAGACTCCTCTGTATCCCCTAGCAAACCCTCTGGTTGACAGAGCAGTCCCTTTGAAGGAGATGGAATGTGGTCAGACTTCCTGCCCGAGGGGCTCTGAGGCAGTGCTCTGTCTGCTTCCTGAAGCATCCAGAGCCCATATTGCAGGCTGTGTTCCCACCAAGGGTTTGCACTCACCATGGCAAAGCCTGAGAGGAGGGCGGAGGTACGGCTGGAGGCCTTCAGCTTGGCCCTGCTCAGGTAGAGCTTCCTCCAAGAGAGGGCCTGCACGGAGTGGTGGTTGGAGGTGACCAGTTCCAGGTAGCTGCGGCGGACCCAGTCCCGGTAATCCATACCCTTATGGCCAGGATCAGAGCAGGCAGGAGTGGCGGGGTCCATAGGAACATTGAGCTCGGCACTCATGACGGGAGCCGGGCTGGGGGTGGGAGAGAGACACACTCAGGCATCGCAGAGGGTTCCCGGACCTGCAAAAGCCAGAATCCAAGCTCAGTTAACCTCTTCCGGGGCCTGCTGTATATACCCTACACTAGAGCCATGGAGGCCAGGGGAGTGTGAGTGGGGGTCTCTGTTTCTGATGCAGTCCCCACAAGGGAATGTGGGGACCATCTGCAGGAGAGGAGAGTCAGGAGTGCATTTCCAGGAACCACCACAGTGTCCAACGTTGTTCCTCCGCAAAGCTGGAGTTCGGCTTCCTGTCCTGAGCTCAGAAGGGCTCAAGTTGAGTATGGCTCTTGGTGAACAGAATTCCAAGGTTGGCCAAGAGCATGTAAGCAATCCTCCAACTTGCACCTACCTTCAGAGAGTAGGGAGTTGTAACATTTAGAAAGATCCTAGAACCTTAAGTTACCAAGCCTTAATGTGACTCAACTATGTGATCCTGAGCATGACACCTGACTTTACTGACCTCGCTCATTCTCAAACGGGGATATCCCCACCCTACAGGGATCTTAAACAAGATAACTGACCTGTATGTAAACTCAGAACTGCTTTTTCAATGTCCAGGTGTCAACCATGAAATACATATATCCAAATAGCCTCTAGTTTCTCAAATCCAACTTAAATTTTAATCAGCACAGTTTACTCTAAAAAATACTCGGCTTATATACATAAAGTAAAGCCACATCCAGTCCGCAATGAAAACCTTTAGCAAAATGAAAAACTAAATCCACTAACATGGGCATATTTCATGGAGAAATGGAGACTGGAAGCCCTTGGAGTCATCCCAGGTAGACATCTGGTGTGACAATAACACGGAATGAAGATCTTGTTGAGATTTGTGAACCTAAACCCAAATCTCCATTAATCCAAATAGGGATTGGCAGTCTCGTGTGGCCCAAGGGGCCAGCGCATGTGGCAACACACTGGAATCAGCTCTAATGAACCTGCAGGACAGGCTTTAAGGGCACAGGCACCTCGCAGTTCAGTTGGCATCAGATATTAACTTGTATGTTCAGGCTGGAATAGGCCCCATGAAAAGCCTACTTAAGGCTATTACAAACAGATCAGGGTTTCTGGATACCAGGGAGCAAGGCTGGGGGTGGGTAGGTGGGGTCAGGGTCAATGACTGAGGAAGTCCCCCAAACCTGATCCATCAATGCCATCCTCTAAAAGGATTCTATGGGAAGGTCCTGGAATTGGGAAGAGCTCTCTATTTTGTGGTACTTTCCTCTTTGTTCACTGCCAGGCTGTGGAGGCACAGCTTTTACTGGCCAACAGGACACTAGGGAACAGTTCTATGCTCTTCTGTTTCTGCCAGGGATGCCAATTACTAGATCATTCATAGGAATACCAACTTGGAAGCCTTGGTCACTGCCCCCTTGCCCATGTCTGCAGCCAGAAGCACTGCTTTCAAGCACTACAATCACTGGAAGGTCCCCTCCCTGGGGGAGAATTCAGGGGAATGTTGTTCACTAGCCAATCCATTGGCTAGCTCCAAATAATTTCGAGTGGCATCATTTGGAAATGCACTCTTTTTCTTTCACGTGTAACAGAAGTGGGCCTATGGGTAAGATGAAAACAGTGTACTGCATATGGAGGGGTGAAAGGCACAACCTTTTCTACCTCAGAGTATCCATCATTCCATCCTCCATCCTTGCATCTAAGAGAGGCTTACTGTGCCCTAAGGTAAGACTGCATTTGGTACTTAGGCATCGAAGATGAAAGAGGTGAGGATCCTGTGAGTTCCCATGCCAGGAGGCAAGTGATATAAGGAAGTGATTCTCATCCGATGAGCTAATGTTGTTTTAGTGGAGAGGGTGTGAAGGCCGAGGGAGCAGAGGAGAAACTGGCTGCCTCATCTCTGGGCAGGCAGAAGGTCCCTGTTAGGGAGCAAGGACAAGGAACAAGAAGGACAAGGTAGTGAAGGCAATACTGGCAAAGAGGGACCCTCCCTCAAAGACAAGATTCTGCCTGCCTGGGAGGGTTCTGAGAGGCAGGGAGACATGGCAGGAAGGCTGGCTACAGAGGAAGTCAAGGAAATGGTGGTGGGGTGGGGGCGGGAGAGAGAAGGCAGGATGCAGGGAGTAATGGAGCCCTGGCAGACCAGGCAGTATGACTGTGCTGGACTTTCTCTTATGGTGCCCTGCCATGGAGCATGGAAAGAGTTGGTGAGGGGAGCAACCTGGGGTCAGCCTGGTCTATGTGCCCACTGAAGTGACTGGCTAATTAGGAGGGGCAGGAGAGCCTGGTAGCCTCCAAAAGGACAAAGGCATGTATGGGGTGAAGAAGAAGGAAGCCCTGGGGTCACCAATGAGCAGGGGTGAAGAAAAAGGAAGCCCTGGGCTCATGTTCGAGAATGGCCATGGAGAGCTTCAGCAGCACTGAGGTCTGACCTTGTCCTTCGGGGAATGGCCAGGGCAGTCACAGCAGCCCTGCAAACATCCTCAGAGTGGCAGGGGTGGGAAGGAAGGGCTGTCTGTCGGCTTGGAGCCTGAGTCCTGAAGATAGAAAAGCCATTTCCTGCAGAGGGAGCAGCCCAGACCTAATTCGAACCCATCCTAACCCTGCCAGCCCCAGCGTCCTACCTTGTGCTAAGCCTCCTCCCCTGCTTGGGGAGGGGCAAAGTCTGGTCCCCACACACTCAGCTCTGACAGGGGGTTGGGTGCGACAAGATGGAGTCCGATATTTCTGTCAGGTGGCAGAGGCTCCAAAGGATGCTCTCCGGGTCAAATCTTGTGGGGTTTTTGTTTGTTTCTATATAAGGGGCAGTCAGAGAAAGGAGATCTGGTACATTAACGAGAACTCTCTCTTGGCAGGCTTGTTTGAAACACGTCCAGGGGTTGGGTTTGGGGTTTGCCTATCTTAACTTCCTTTAAGCATCTGGGACGCAAGTAATGGCGAATGCCACGAAGAAATGTCTGTTTCTGATTCTTTCTGTCACACCCGCATGGGGCGGGGCCCCAGCAACCTCCACAGGGGTCTCCCAAAGGCGTCCACCTGCATCTCCATCCCTTCCCCAGCGGCCGCAGGACCCGGACTCAGCCCGCGCCCCGACCTCCCAGTCCTCTCCGCACCGCACCCCACCCGGGGATCCTACGGGGTTGGGGTCACTTGGCTTCCCCCCAAACCCACAGCCATCTCATCATGAGCCTGCTTTGGAGAAAGCCTGTTCCCTCCCTTGTCGAGTCTCCTGGTGCGACTCTGTCCCGCAGACGGGGTGGGACCAACCTACCCCCACCAGACCTCCTCAGCGACGCGCACTCACCGAGCTGCTCTGCCAGCCCAACCCAGCCCGGCTCGGCTCCAGCTCAAGCGCGCTGCCGGAGGCGCTGGCGTGGCCGTGTGGCCCTGTGGCCCCGTGGCCCTGTGGCAGGGCACGGGCGCCAAGCGCGGCTCCTCCTTCCGCGGGTCCCGCGGGGTCCCCCTCAGCCCCGCCTCCGCTGGTTACTCCGCCCCCGCCTGCCCGCAGCAGCCGCTGCCAAGGCAACGGCGCGCTGCAGTCACGTGACCTGATGGCGGGGGCGCTGCAGGCCACGTGACCCAGTGAGCCCAGAGGGGCGGGGTGCCCTGGTGTGTGGACTCCCATCGCGTTCCAGTGCAAAAACCCTCGAAGGGTGCACATCTCTCTCGTCCCCCGGCGCGCCGCGAATAGCAGTCGACAGGGATTGGCGCGGCGGCGGCCACCAGGGGAGCTGGAAGCCCGGGCATCCCTCACTCTCCCATCCCCACGCCGGCCGCTTGGTCACCCTGGGCCCCAGCGACAGGACGATGAGGCTGCGCAGTCTCACCCCGGGTCTGTCCAGGAAGTCCAGGGCAGGGTAGGCCCTGTCGGACCGAGGTGTGTGGGTCTGAGCGCAGATGGGAGTGCGGGGTTCCCAGGGTGAGCCCCGAAGGAAGCCCAGAATCGGTCATTGGTCGTGTGGAGGGGTAGGAAGAGGCCAAAAGGGCGCACCCTGAAAGAAAAGGGAACAGGGAATCCATTATCAGACTGCAGGGTGGGCGAGAGTGAGGTGGGTAGCGTGGGGCAAAGGGGTAGAAGGGCAGGCTGTTTGGGAACGGCCAGGCGGCTACGCCCGAGTTTGCCTAGGTGGATAGTGGCACTATGCAGAGCGAAAGCCCAGTCTGTCAGCTGGTCGCCCATAAACATACCCTACACTCCCAGACCCCGCGAGACCCTCGAGGACCTAACCCAGATGTTGCAAGCTCGGGATCCTAACCCTGGTGGACGCACGCGGAGCTGTTCTAGTGTTCTCAGACCGCAGGGTACCTGGGGTGAAAGTGTTTCTGCGGTGACCCAGCCCCTTTCATTCGCTGCTGCAAGGACTCTCTCACGAGTAATGGTGAACTCCCCGGTTTTATTACGAGATATTCAAACAGGAAGGTTCTTTTCAGGAAGTGCACATGAATGATTCACTACAAGGCGAGATGGGTTCATATCAGCCCTCCGTGCCAGACTGCCTGTCCTTCCTGCATGCCCTACATAGGATTTTTTCATGTCACAACAGCACTGAACGGTGACACATTTATCCAAAAATGATACCTTTTGATCAAGGAGGACACAAAACAGGCTAAGCTGGTTCCCCCTCTGGTTACCTCCCTAACAAAGGTTATAGGAAAATCCTGGGGTCTGATTACTGCCCCACCCCCATGACTACACAAAAGGGGTTGTTTGAATTTCAGGGGGCAAAATCCTTTAAAAATAATCATACTGTGGCTTTCAAACCTCAAGCTCTTCCTAAAATGACCTGGAAAACATGAAGAAAAACACTGTAAACTACAGTAGTTGCGTCATACATGAGAATTCTTTCAGCAACGATGTCATTTGCTTGTTGAGCTCCGAGCCTTGAAGCCTGAGTGCATATCCTTTACAAAGCTTCCTATTCCAGTCAGCGATGCCCCCACCCCAAGTATTTATCCAGCAGGCCTAGGCAGAAGCAAAACATGTCATAATTACCAGTGCTTGTCAGAGCTAGTTTCCTATGAAACACAGAAAATGGCTTTTCTTATCCCTAGAAGATTGAGGAAGGTGACGGCACCATTTTGAAAGGAGAGAGATTGAATAATCACAGTACTAATGGTTGGAGGGCCTCCTCAGGCGCCCAAGTGATTGAGTGGGTGTTACACAGAGGGCAAGGAGGTTCAGGTAAAGATCCACAAGTACTAGCCACCCAGCAGATGTCCAGGCTACAGTTTAGGCGGTTATTTCCCTAGTTGGTTGATCTTGGCAAGTTGCTTCTGCTCCCAAGGCCTCAGCTACCCTACATTTGAAAAAGACCAATTCTTTGAGTCATATCCCAGTGGTGAACCACCTGCTAGTCTTCCTCATTAATGCATGCCCCCTCATTCAAGGAAGACTGTGGTCTCTGCTTTCCTTTCCATCCCAGGTCTTATCTAGAATAGCCACATAGCTGACAGGACAATGTATCCAGTTCCCTGACACACCAGTTGTCCCCTTAGCCATTCAATCCTATGGCCTAGCCCTTGTCATCACTCTGTGAAATTTTAAATTCAAGTATCTCTCTTTCCGATGCTTTCTCACTCAGTTCTCAACCTTTTTCACTCAATTCACCACCTCTTCCTTGACCCTGCTGAGACCCACCTTTCCTCCTCAGTCTCCATTCCTCTTCAGCCTGACTCCTTCCAACCTCTCCTGCTACCATCTTTCCCCACTTCATGCCAAACTTCATGAAATAGCTGTCATCACTTCCTTAATTTCCTCCTCAGCCCTCTGCACTCCACTAACATTGTATCGTTACATCCAGAAGATATTTCAGCCATTGCCTTGTCTGTTATTGGGTACCCCTCCTTCCATCTAGAAATGCTTTTTGCTTTGGTGACTCCACCTCTTTTTTCCACCTGTGCAGGTTCCTCCTCTGCTGTCTGTCCCCTAGATGTTTCTCAGGGTTCCGTCTGGGTCCTCCGCTCTTCATTTCCTCCTGACTGGCCTCACCTTTGTTTCAGAAGCCTAATGACTCCTAGCCCAGATCTCCTCCCAGCCTGGCAGGGCCTATCCCAAACTTCGCCATGCCCACAGCTGAATCCATCATCTTCCCCTCACATACCTGCTCCACCTCCTGAATCACCCACTTCAAAAGCTGTTCCATCATCCACCCAGCTGGTGACACTATAGGTCTGCTGTCATTCTCGACTCCACCTTCCCCCATCAAGTCCTGTGAATTCTCCTAAGTCTCTGGAATCACCCCCATTTCTCCCTGTCCCCAGTGGCCTCTATGCTAATTCAGGCCAATCTGCATTACTGCAAGAGCTTCCCCTTCCTATTTTTCACACTGCAAAGTAAAAAACTCCCCTCAAGTCTCCACATTCCACCCCCAGCTCTTCAGTTTCCCTGGAATCAACTCTAGTCCCCTTAACGTGATTTAGAAACCATGGCAGGGCATCTGCTCTCTCTTCAGCTTGCTTTCTTAGTAGTCCTGCATGACTGAACTAGTCATGAGCTCAGCTCAGCCCTCCCTCATGCCAGAGGCCTGGGTCACATGCCCACACAGCACCGTTCTACACTGCATTGGCCTTTTTGTCTGTCCGTGATCAGATCTGGAGCTCCTTGAAGGCAAGGTCTGTATTGCTTACTATCATCCCCATTGCCTAACAAAGTGCCCTTAGGAATCCTTTGGATTTAGTTGGTATTCAATAAACATTTGCTACATTCTATGGCATAAGAAAACTGAGTATTGCCTCATAGGACTTGCCCCAGGTTAATTTCTAAGGGTATTCTCTTTATTGAGATATGTTAATATATGGTAATTATAGCCCACTTCAGTCCAGTATGCCCAATAGTAAACATTTAACTTAACTTCCAAAGGGGAAGAGAAAACATGCCTTTTTCCAATGATGATTCCAAAGGAAACATTTCCACACAGCTCTTTCCATGTAGCCTGGAAACCAGATTTATATTCCTGTTTCCAAAAGTCAACATCATCATTTCTCTAACTCAATTTTTTATTTTTCCAAAAGATAAATGTTAGAAGTAGAGAAGTGAATTTAAAATAGTAATGACACTTAATATGCTCCAAACCAGTGTTTCTCAAGGCATGGGGCAGGGGGGATCCACAGTGGAATCTATTCAAATGCGTACTTGGGGCCTGAACTATGGTGAACCAGAGTCTCCGGGGGTGTGTGCTGGTGGTCTGGGGTTTTTAGGCAGCTCCTCGACTGGCAATGCTGCACTGTGGGCATCACTTTAGCAGTCCCTGACAAATATATATAACTATATACATCTACTCTTAGGTTCTTCCTGTCATAGAAGCAGTTTTTTTCAGGCATGAACAACTTACCTATTTGCTTTCAATCACTGGGATTTGCACTGTCATCTAACTGACATTTATTGAGCATTTATTCCATCCCAAGCACTGTGCTGGCACTAGGGGTACAGCAAAAAGCAGGACAAATAAGGTCTTCATTCTCACAAAGCTCAGAGTTGAGTTTAGGGGTGAGGGAGGTGCTGGTGTGGCAGGGTGTAGATAAGTAAACAAATAATGGGTGCTGTTAGAAAATGAACAGAACAGTGGTGGTGGGTAGGTGGGTGGGTTGAAAGCTGACTGACAGAAGAAGAAGAGGCAGATCAAGTGCAGAGTTCCTGAGGCAGGAACAGGTTCCAGAGATGGGGCTTTTGGGAACAAGAGTGAGCACAGCAGGGCACAAGAGGCAGGTCTGGATAACTGGGCCTTGCAGCTCCTACTAAAGTGTAAGGGAAGCCATCAGGGTCTTAAAACAGAGGGGTGACAAGATCTGATTTCTGCTTTTAAAAGATCACTCTGGCTGCTGTGAACAGATTTTTTGGGGGAGGGGATGTGCTTAAGTAGAAAGAGGCCACGACATCCATCCAAGCTAGAGATGCTGGACTGAGATGAACAAGGCAGAGATGAGAGTGAACAGGCCCAGGACATGCTGATGAATGGGTGTGCGGAGAAAGTGTGAAAAACAGGAACCAAGGATGACCCTGACTCCTAGCTTAGGGGCTCAAGCAACTGTCTGAATGGTGGCGCAATTTACCAGGGTGGGAAGATGAAGGAATGTGCTTAGGGGGCAAAGAACTTGTTTTTCTTATATTAAGTTCTAGGTGCCCATGAGACATCCAAGGTGAAGTATCAGGTAGGCAAGGTGGACTGAGTCTGAGGCTCCAAAAGGAAGTGGAAGCCACAAACCCAGAAGGCATTGGTGAGGACAGCATGTAAAGCCACAGGCTAGATGAGATCCTGGGGTCTGAGTATTGACAGATGACACTAAGACATTCCAAGCCACCCCAACATTCGGGATGAGCAGAGAAGCAAGCAAGGGAAAGACGCAAAGGCAGGAGGCAATACTGTCAGGAAGGCTGAGAGGAGTTTGGAAAATTGTATAGAAGGGCACCAAAGGGCTGGAGTTGGCAAGACTAGAAGGATTTCAGTGGAGTGATGGGATGAAAACTTAGACAGGGATGAGGGCAGAGAGGTAGAAGTGAACACAGAGAGCTCTTGGGGCATATGGCTGAGAAGGGAGTGAAATGGGTGAGAGAGAACCTGGAGATAAGGGCTTCTGTTTTGTTGTTTCACCATGGGAGACCCCAGAGCTGCTAGCTGAGGGAGGGAACGGCAGGTCCAGAAGAATGGGGAGAAGGGCTCTACATTGTACCAGGAGGGAAAGCAGGGCACACTGGCTCTGATGCTCATGTCCATGCCCTGGGCTGGTGGATGAAGCGGGGAGGGGGCATGAGGGGTTGGCCTGAAGCTTCTGCTTTCTTTCTATTCTAGGACACAGTAACCTGCTAGGGTGGGGGCTAGGGATGGGGATCTAAGGAGAGTGGACATGTAGAAGTACCTTTTAGAAAGTGGGACAGTGATTATACTAGGGAAGATCTAAGGCTAGGTGGGGAGTGCTGGGTTCCTGTGTGACATCTGTGGGCCTCCATTTAAAATGGGACTGATCAGTCTAGCTGCTTGATTCTCCAGGTACAATGAAGCATCAGGGAACATAGCCACAAAGTACAATTTCCTGCTTTAGGAAACACATCTCTAAGGTTAGGCTTGCTCATGCATATTCACTCACTCTCCAAACATATACATACAACTGATTCTCATTCACAGTAGGCATGTTCTTGAGTCACCAAGAACACTTTAAGTAGCAAATGCTGAACCATAACTGATCAAGCAAATACAAGGTTGGGTTCCTAAGACTGGTCAGAAAATCAGTTGATCATGTGTTTTTGTTTAAAGACACCTTTGTTAATAAATATATATTATTGATTCATTAATGTTGAATCATAGCCAAGAGCGCTATAACTCATGCCTGAACGAAGCTTATCTAAGGCTCAGTGCAGCGTTCTTGAACTTAGGAACACTAGACAGCACTTCAGCACTACACTTGGGGGCCATTTTAAACAGAGAAATAACCAACAAAAAGCAAAAATTGCAAACAAACAAACAAACAAAAACCCAAACAAACCCCCTGCCATTAAATAAGTTTGAGCTGAAATAAGAAGGCAGAGCGTTACCATGTCTGACCTCAGCTTGGCGTGTGTGCATCAGGCAACTCAAATTTTTGCCACCCGGCACATATCTGCAAAAGTACGAGTACTAACTTTGGTGTTACAAATAAATGTTAGTTAATCTACAAACATAGAACTTGTGAAAAATGAATCAATTATATTTAAAACTATGACATATTATGATATACTATTACACACACACGCAAATGTACCACGGAGCTTATTAAAGGAGGGGCCTACGGCCTACAGCCCTGGAACCAAAACAACAGCCCTGGGGAACCCCTCCCTACCAGATTTGGGCTACATACAGCTTCTTCCTCAGAGCAGCACAGCAGGGGGTAGGATGATGGATTCTGGAGTCATACTACTTGCATTCAAAGGCCACATCTACCACTTATTGCTAGGTGACTTGGACAAGTTTCCAGACCTGTGTTTATAAATCTCATTTGGTAAATCTATATGGGACACCTAATTAAAAAGAAAGAGTATTCTAACACAAATAACTATGCCTGGCACAGGGCTGTCACTTAGTGCTCAATAAATGTCTGGTGAATAAGTGAATAAACTCCTAATTTGCCTGGTAAATCAGAATTCTTATACATGAATTTTCCTGAGACAACCAAGTTATATATACCTTTTCAATTTAGATTTCTTCCCACCCATGAGCTAATCGATAAGGTCATTACTTAATGATTCTCTCCTTGCCATGGCTTTTTTGAGGGGGGGCGGTCCTCTCAGTATCACCCGCTCCCTTCTCACTGATGACATCTAATTGTTCCCCTTTCTCAAACAATACCCTGAAGAAGACTGAGTTATTCAACCAAGGTACTGATGACACCTTAAAAACTGTCAGAAACTGCTACAGGACGCTTCCTACCTAAATATCATCTTCTAAAAGGTAGTAAAGGTATAAAACATAAACACCCTGCCTGGTATCCTATTTGTTTAGTCTTCACCCACCCACAATTGCCTAACTAAGCTCTTGGTCAGGTGCATCGGGCAGAGGCAGGAAGTGACTTGCCCAAAGTTTCCTGTCTCATCAGAGGCAGAATCAGGGCTCAAATCCAAGTCTTTGGGCTTGGAACTCTGGCATCCTCCAGTTTTCAGTGCAAGACAATACCATGAGATCCAAGATGAAGACTCAAAGCAAGAGTTGTGACACACATGGAGGGGTGGGGGTGGGCGAGATAAGGAAACCAACCTTCGACCTCTGTCAAAGACAGAGGAACAAAAACCAAAACACAAACTGACCAACCAGTCCCTGACCGAAAAGAAACACAGGTTTCAAAATGTACAGCCAGGGTGTGTGCTCGTTTATTAGGGCTAACTTTCCATTTCAGCTTCCTGGGAAAGAAAAATTCCTGTGATGTGAACTGTGGAAAGGACAGATGTTACCACAGATGTTGCCTGGCTTGGGGAAGGGCCAGGGAAATCAATACTAGAAAAGTGAAAGAATAGTAAAATATTTCTTGGTTTTCCTTCACTCAAAACCAATTTCCTTAATTCTACCAAATTCCTTAAAAAGCACAAAATATCCCGAGAAACTTGGAATTGGAGATAAATAATCCAAAAAGTGAGCAAAGGCTCTAATTAGAAACTTTCTCTT